TTCTTGGCTAGTGGGGGAGAAAAGGGAAAAGAAAATTCCGGATGCTAACTTGTGTTTCAGATTCTGAAAAAAATCATTCAAGCAGGAAGGGATGTTTTAGTTAAAGTGTTAAACTTTTACAACAATGTGTATAAAACACTTGGTTACAGTTTAGTTTCTATTTTGGTACATGCTATTTTAAAACCAGTTAAGATTTCTTCAACCACCAGGAATTCAAGTAAAAAGGCGAAAATGCTGAGAATTAAGGTTCAAGGAGCATCACAATTAAGTGAGAAAACGAAAGATGAAACCAGATCCACTTTACCGTCAAGTTTGCATGCCAGAGAAAGTATCCATTGACAACTCCTGCTTAATGTGACGCTCAAAACAGTAACTTACAACACCGAAAGCCACCACAAACAAGCTTTTCCATTTCCCAACCTGGCTGCAGATGACAAAAATTTGAGAAAAGCGATCTCAAGAGCACTACAAAGGTCTGTACACGCGTTTGGTTTCAATAAACGCTTTTAAGACATGAATCACAAAGCCGAATATAGTTTGTTAAACAACTAAGTTAATCATGGAATTAGAAGCAATCTTGATGATAATGCTGTACTGCAACTCTATAAATATATGAGATAGACATTAGAAAAGCATGCATCATTTACAACACATAGTGCGCATTTATCCAATTTTGCTCCACATAGTTATAATATAGCATTCAATTGCAGGATTAAATTGCCGAAAGATATTCAACAACTTGCCAGTTTAGTTTTATAATTTATTCCCAAAAATTTAAATCAAAATCTTCTTCATAGCATGAGCATACCCTGCATTACTCCCAAATATCCGTAACACGAATCAACGAGATGTCGGAACATGGAAATAAGATCTAACATACAAACATTTTATCTCAACATATAAAAGTAAATAAAATTGTCACCTCAATGAAAGGAGGATGGGATTCCTGCTGATTCTTTCGAAGCCTTGAGGAAAAAGGTCCAACTGTTCCACATCCAAAAAATTAAAGAAGCCATCAACCTTAACATATGCATTTGAACATACTCTTAAGTAAGTGGATACTATAATTATTCACAATTCTTCAGTGAGAACTGAACAGAAATGCATACTTATAGTCTTATACTATCAAATATCATATTCTGTCTATGTTGTTTCATAAAGAATGTCATCTAATGAAAGTACGCACCAAATCCAAACGACCACGTAGACAATAAACTACTCTACAAATCTACATCACAGCCATTGCAGCCACAAACAAACAACAATAATAGTATCCATTTTGTCTGCCTGAGCTAATTGGCAAATTCCATGAACCAAAAAAAAAGAAACCACTTACCTCTGTAAGGCTTCGAAACAATCTGAAATCTCAAATTTGCACTCGAAACAATCTGAAATCTCAAATTTGCACGACCATTTGGCATCAGATTTGGTGTTTTTCTGCTGAGATTATGAATAAATCTGAAATTAAAAAAGAAATAATAATAAAACAAAATATTTCTACGGCAACGATAAATAGAGAAAAAACAGGGGAATGATACATTTTGGTGCCAATCGACTCGAAACTCGACCGCAAATTGCTCTTTGTGCCCCAACCAAAACTCCATTGCTTATTTTTAGCAACTGAGGAGAATTTCCGCTTTCAGTTTGCTGGCCGTGGCCCGCGGGGCAACAACTGGTGGGCCGACGTAGAGTTTTTCTTGCGATTGCAATGTGATCTAACAATCGAAGGCGAACAGAGCCATTGAGTGATTTTCTCTGAGCCCATCATCTTCACCATGCTCCATTCCAAACTTTTGTCAAATTCACATTTCGTACCATATATTAGGGTAAAACAAACGGTTTTTCCCCCAATTTATTGTCGGTCTCCGATCACAACAATTACGCAAATTCTTGTATTAAGCAACTCTACCGTCGTATATTTATAATAAAATACATATTTGAATTGCGAAAATATTTTGATAATATAGTATTTTAATTTGAAAGTAGGCATATTCGTTACATAATTTTAGCTTTACCAAGATTGTGAACGAAACGAGCCAAGTGGTATAATCTATTACTATATAATAGAGAGAAGAAAAAATGTTTAAAAAATTATTTCATTTTACCGCTAAAATCACTTTTTTCCCTCTAATATTTTGTTTGAAATTTTTTCGAAAGTTTGAATTTTTTTCATTCCGAAATTCAGTATGTTTTGGATGAGTTCAATATATTTTGGATGAGATTCCTTCCATATCGGATAAATTCAAGTTCCTTTTCATTTGGAAAACATATTTTTATTTTAGCAATATATTTGACTTCCTTTTTTTTAACCGATTATGTTGGTCTTCTGTTTAAAATTGAATTTTTTTTAATTAAAGAATGTACCAGTTTCCTAAACATGATAAAAACATATCACTTCAAATATTTTTTAAAATTGAGGATTCCATCTACTACGATTAATGTGATTAGTACTAACTGATTTTGTTAAATAATATCTTCATTGATTCACCCCAACACGTTTGATAGGTCGGTTCATGAGTCAGTTATGATGCATAAAATCACACAATAGTGGCTATTTAATATAAAACTATTTAGAATATAACAATTCAAAAATTGAGGATTCCATATAATGTAAGCTCAAAAGCTACGAATTGATTTATTCCAAAAATTGAGGATTTCATATACTACAAATTAATTTATTCTACAAATAATTCACAATTTTACGGTTTAAATAATACAATATGTACATCATTTCCCTTAAAAATTTGATCAACCAACACGATTTTGATGATAATTTTTCAAATTGATCTGTATTCCTTTTGAATATCAGAAAGATTTTTGAACAAATATTAGTTAATAATTTAAAATTTGTAATTTAATTTTAGAGAATTAATTGATAAATTTGAACAATAAGGTAACCGAAAAAAAATCTAAAAAATTGAGAGATGATATGTATAAAGAATTTATTGTGTACTCTAAATTTGGTTTCCAAATTTAAAAGTCTAATAAGGTATTCTTAATAACTTACGGGTTAGTATTAACTTGGACGTAAATAGAATAATCAATTATTTATAGTTTAATAAATTACTCAACTACTTAATTTTTTTATTTAGATAGTTTATACAAAAATAAATTCAATTTAATTAATGAAATAATATAGTTTTATAACTGTACTTATTATTCACATAAATTTTTAAATATTCATAACATTTTATCAAAATTATTATTTTATGGAATTACATTGTAGTTAAATTGAATTTCTGAATGAAAATTTTAAAATGACACTTATTTTGAAATTATATTGTAATTTATTATCAGTTACGTTCACCGTACGGGTTGTGTACTAATTTTAAATTGACATATTTTTTATAATTTTGCACAATTTAAATTTCATATAACATTTTCAATAAATTTAATATAGGTGAATTGTATTACAATTGATTCCATATTTTTAAGTTATAAATATTATTTAATGTGTATTTTTAATTTATAAATATTAATAAATATCTCCTACCCCTGCATAGCACATGATTCGTATTAGTTAAAGAAAATTGAACCAAAATAAATAAATATTTAATTATTTATATAAGAACTAGAAAAGTGTTACTATTTATATAAGAACTAGAAAGGTGTTACTATATGGTATCTAATCTCCCTAATAAATATCTCCTACCCGTGTATAGCACGGGATTCGTACTAGTGACATTATCAAACGATTTGATTTCTTTTTCATTTTTCACTTATTTTATATACTTATTCAGTCTAAATCATTTAACAAATCCACATCCAGCTATGCTTCTGTAAAGGTTCAGTACAATGTCTGCTCGTGTAAGATGAATCTTTGTGATCAGGTCCGTCCGGGCCGGGCTGGTTGTATGTAGTTAGGAAGGCCTGCTTCAGTTGGAATGATGAAGTTGTGAATGGGTTTTTGGGTATGCTGTTGTCTTCCTATGCATATACCTGTCAGTTTTTAGCTAGATTTTGTGCACACTATTTTTGCTACCATCTTAAAAAGAGTGTGTTTGGTAAGCATTATTATGTAGCTTATAGCTTATTGTTGGAATATCAATTTTGAGTTGTCCAATATTACTTCTATAGGACAAATAAGTGTAGCTTATAAATTTAGTGGGTTACTCCTTCCATTATCAATTAATTTTGGAATGAAACCAATAAAGTGCACCTAGACTCACCTTTTTTCGTGCGTTTCACCTCTATGTTAGCTATAAAACTAACACTTAACTAGTTTATAAGAGCATCTCCAATGCTATAAGTGTGAAAGATCATTATTTTTAACACATGTCAATTAGTGATTGTAATGTTAATCCACATTGGAATAATGTTAAAAGACTAAAAATTTTAATGAAACTAGTATCTCCAATGCATCAATTTGATAAAAAGTTATTTGTATAGGTGGACCAATTAAATAATTCATTGATACAAAAAAAATAAAAAATTAAAACAAATATAAAGTAAATTGATGAGTCATCATGTTTAACATGGTGTTAGATATTAGAAAGTGTGTTCAACATTGTCAACATTAAATGACATTCACCTCATCATGAAAGAGTTCATGACAAGATGCATTGGAGAAAAAAATAGAGACACACTTTCAAAAGTTGATGATATGGATGACTTTTTATAATGTCAAAAGTTGCATTGGAGATGCTCTAAGTTTCATGTATTCAGTACTAATTGATTTTGGAATAAAACCTCACTAACGTGTATATACTCTCACCACTATATGGTTTGTTTCACCTTTATGTTACCGCACCCTTAATTTACACTTAATCTATAAATCTAATTCTTATTTAGTTAGTTTATAAGTTTCATGTATTCAAGTTTGGTTCAGTATAACGAGTTTTTATAAAAAGCTGAAACTCATCCTATAAGCTTTCTTAGGTAACTTTTAAAAGATCACTTAGAAAATTTTATTTTAGCTGACTTATCAACTAACTTTACCACAATTTTATTATACCAACTAATTTTTCAGTCACTAGCCATAAGCTATCAATGAAATTTTATTTCAATTGACATATCAACTAACTTTACCACAATTTTATTATATCAGTTAGTTTTTGAGTCATCAACCATAAGCTATCAACAATAAGAGCCAAGTTCATTTATAAATTGTTAACTAATTTTATCATCTGATTTTTAAGCTAGGTTCACCAAATACAAGGAGAAAAGTTTTTGTAAATTGCAACAAACCTCCTCAATAATTCATGTTGCGCCCCTCAAAATACTATTGAAACCATCTTACTTCACGCGAGCTATATTTGTCCTACATTTTCTTTTAGAAATTATAGATAATTTTTTTCTAACCAAAAAAGCCGGCTGCTCTATCTGCAATAAAAATATTTTAGTTTGTCAATCATAGTTGACTTAGTTAAGGAGGCATGGCTTCCTCTGTCATTTGTCTTTTGCCCCCCACATTGATAATTAATAGTAATAATAACAAGGATTAATGGTAAGAAAAAAAATTTCGATTTTGCAAACATAACCAGTCGTTGTATGCCTGTTTGTAGTTCGATAATTCGTTTTGCAACAGTATAACAAAATTGCATAAAGTATTACAATTTAAAGTTGAATTATATTTATAAAGTATTACAATTTAATGGTCCTACCCGGCTCGATTCCGGATTAGTCGGTCCCCTAGGGGATTCGGAAACCGGAAGGTTCATTGTACCAAAAAAAAAAGTTGAATTATATTTATAAAAATGGAAAGTGCGTGTTTGTTCTTGCCATTAAAGCTAATAATAAGAATATATAGAAAAATTCCGGTTCTTGCCTGATGGGTTGACTTTTGAGTTCTGCACAAAAGCTACTACGATAGTGCGTTGACTTCAGGGGAAGGCTTCTTCCGAACATCGTCACAAGTCACAAAAATTCAGTTCTAAACAAATTATTTCTAAGTGATAATGCAGAGGAAAATGAGGGTGGTGAATTCAAAATGGACTTTTGTTTGATTATTTAATTTTATTTTGCACAAGTGTTTGGATATAGCAGCCAAATGCCAATTGGTTAGGGGGTGATTGGATATTAATTCAACTAGTAAAAAATTGGTTATTTTTTAACTATAGTTAAGTTTGAAAAAAGGTGGTATGGTTAGTTGTTAGTGGATTATATTAAAATAATATTTTAAATAAAATAATTAAAGTTGATTTGATGTAAAAGTAGGAGAAAATGATTGGAAGTGATAGTTAGTTAAAATTATGTGAGTATATGAATAGTGAATTAGAGTTGATGTGATGTATAAGAATGATTGGTTTATATTATTTTATTGTATTAATAATATTGGAGATAGTGGAATTGAGTTAAAGTTTAGTTAAATTTGAGTTTTGATTGATTTTTTTACTGTACAAATTGTATACAATCACCCCCTTAGTCACTGAGTCACAACCTAATAATTGTGTTGTCTAATACTAAAATCAATAATGACTAGGGAAAGTAGAGATAATTATATATTGTATTCGCAATTGATTCATTAATTAATTGTTTTCTCAAGTGGATTTTATAGCGAACACTACGAAATCATAAGGCAGTGACATCGATTAATTATTAGTTGTATTTATTTATGATTTTTAAGATTTTAGAAATTCCAATTTAACTTAATTTTCTTAAAAGTTTTAAAGTAATTAATTAAGATTTTAAATAGTCTTTAAGAGCGGGATTAAATATAAATAAAATTGATTTTAATTAGATTTATTATTTAAAGTGAGTTAATATTGACTAAAGTTGATTGAGTGGAGAATTTAGTGAGATTTTGAGTTTGTATTTAAACAATAATTAAAATATAATGATTAAAGTTGATGTGATGTAAAAGTATGAGAGAGATTATTGAAAATAATAGATAGTTGAAAATATGTGAGTGAATGAACAGTGAATTAAAGTCGATGTGATGTGTAAGTATAATTGATTACTATTGTTTAATTATATTATCATAATATTGAGAAAAATATTAGTTGGATTATACTTGAGCTTATTTTGAGTTAAGTAGTGTAAAAAAATATCCGATCAGTCAAAACAGGATATAATTGGTAACCAATCATTAAGATTTTAAACACAAACTATATGTGTTAAATCTAACCACTAAATTCCACCCATAAACATGCCATATTCAAAGATTTAACTAAAATCAATAAATTAATAAGCCTTGATTTAAGAAATATTAAAATGTAACTCAAAATCTCAAATAAATACACACGAATCTCTAGAATTGAAGAAAAATGAGCTCCTCTAACTTTAGATCATCATAATTTGAGAACTCTAAAATTAAATTCTAACTACATATATTTGGTATCATCATGTTCTCCACACAAAAGCAATTGGAAATCCATTTCTATCTGACCAACATTTTCTATGTCCCATGCCCAACTAATTTCCAACTCAAATCTAATCCCATTATTTTTTTTATTTTTTTTATTTTTAAAAAAAGGCAAACATGACATGACTCTTTGGTGAACCCAAAATTCAGACCCTCACTATAAATACTGCACCAAACTTCAGCATTAGAGTGAGCAACTTTTCCCTCTTTGATTTCCTTCTCTTGGTCTTTTTGCTTCTTTTTTCTTGTCAACATATGGCTCTTCTCAACAGAGCTAATGCATATTCAAAGATAGAAAACGAAGACCAGGAAGAAGCAAAGCACCGTTTGGCGCAATTCTTGATTTACAAGGCTATGAAGAAAGCCGATAGTGATTCAAGAAGAAGGCCATCTCGGTTGAGGGTCAAAATGATCAAGCTGAAGATCAAGATTGGTAAACGATTGAAGAATATGAAAAAGCGCTTGAGTTCAAACGCGCTTTCTGCTAAGGCCGATCTTTACAAGCAAATTGCTTTTGTGTTGAAATCTTGCAAGCACTTGTTGCATCCCAAAGATGTCCCAGTTAGGAGTCTCCCACCAATGTTTTGAAAGGGAGAATTGTAAGAGGCATTCCCAATTCTTAGACTTGTATAACTCTGTATGGTTAAGGGGTTGATAATGAATCCAATGGAATTGGTTGGGTGATCCTCACTATTCAATGGATTTCAAATGTTCATCAATCATTGATGGTTCTAAAACCGCTTTATGCCAATGTTTCGTGCCATTAGTATCGAGAGTTGCTATCCGAGAAATATATAAAAGATTGTTTTATGTTACAAAAAGTTGTGAAGTTACACGGGAATTCTATGAACTGAAGTGTTCAGTTCTTAAATAAAAAATAAAAATAGAAAAAAAAAACTAATTACAATGTTAACGAAAAGATTAAAGTTGAGGCGAGAGTATTCTCTTTTCGCAATAAAAATAGGCCTCACATATTGCTAACGAGATTGTGCGTCTTGCTCCAAAAATAGAATAACAAGTGTCTCGTAAGCCGTAGCACACCAGACTTCGAAGCTTCGGCGAACTAGAACAGAGTCGGTAACTGAGCACTATGTATGATGTGTGAGTGTAAGGATGCATATGTATTATGTATCTTTGCTGCAACCTAAGAACCCATATTTATAGAGTTCCTACTTAGGTATGGAAAACCATGAGCCAGCTGCCACTTAAGACTGTTAACAACCCAATGGCTGTTGGTGTAAAGGTCATCAAAATTGTTAGACCGTTTTTAGGTGTTAACACACCACTACTCCAATTAATAACATCCCAAGACGGTCAAGTGGAGTCAACATGTCCAGATGCATTGTATCTGAAAGGGTCCACACGACTTGGGTTAAAACCTGAATACAATCCGAACTCGATTTGGAGTTTATTTTGATCCACAATTTTACAAATAAAGTGGTTGGTCCCAACCCAACGCTGGTCTAGACAGTCCAAGGCCGCCAACGTCCAACCCACAGTCCAGTTGACAAGGTCCAAGGCCCAAGATCTAAGGCCAAGGCTCGTGCCCGAGCCGAGCTGGTTGATCGGCGCTCGTGTTTGGCCAAATCCACCACCAATACTCGATGCATAACTTTGTATTTTTGTGACCTCTCAAACTCTCTTTATTATAACAAAGAGAGTTATACTCGTTTAAGAGTCAAACGTGGGACTTTTGACCATTTGAATTTGACAACCATCATTTTACGTGTTCATTAATGTTTAACTTTAATAAATTGTTTCTCACTCAGCGGAAATCAGTTTTGAAAAAATAAATATAATGAGAGTATCTACTCGGAACGTAGAATTTTCTACATAATTTGATTTTCCCAAAATTAAATATTTAACCATCAAATTATAAGTCAAAACCGAGTCAAACTCAATTTTAATACATGGTTTTCAAAATTCTCTTTGAAATGAATAACATAAAGACGAAATAACATTGTGAAATTATCAAATTATGATTCTTTCATGGATTTCAATGGTCCTCCGGTTGAACTGGGACAAAGCTAATAACAATTGATAATGTGAAGAAATCATGTCACGAAATCTAAATTTTCCTGTAAAAAAAGGTGATTGCATATGGAGATGAACTCATTGTTGATTAAAATAAAATAAAATAATTGTTATATGTGTAACTGAAAAAGGCGAAAAAAATATATTAAAAACATTGTCTCCAATTATATTTAAGAATATCAACCAATCAAGATTTTAAAAAGAAAACCTCCCCTCCCATCCAACTAAACAAATCTAAGGCTTAGAAATCATTGTAGGAAAATGAATACAAGATTGAGATAATCAGATAAACGTGATTGTCTAAGGAAGACTATTTGTCACGTTGGCATACGTTGACTCTTTTTGGTCATCAAATGTGATCAAATACCTTGAAAAAATGTTGGTCAAAAGAAAGATCAAAAGTCAGAAAGGTCAAAAGTCAGACTCATAATGTCAAAATTTGAAGTTTAAAAAACCGGGAACAAAAAAGCCTGATGCCAACGCGCAATTTATATAGTCAGTAAAATCGTGTATGACAATGTCCCTTCCAAATTAGCAATCGATTTGGAGAATTTCCCAGTTGTGTATTCCATTTTTCCCATCTTCAAGCTTTTAGGGTTTTTATTTCTCCTCGCTATAATGTTGTAAACGCTGAGGTGTGTTTCATGTTCGAACCTTCTCGACATTTTAACTTACTCGCCATTTTGTTTTATTGTTGTTCGCTGGCATAAATGGCGAATTTCATCACCTGTTTGTTTGCGGTGAAGAATTTTGTTCCGACGATGGAACCTGAAATTCAGCTTTAGTGAAATCGTTTTCTGAAAACTCTCAGCTTTTGTTTGAAAATTCCCCTGCTTGTTCTCGTAAATTCCCATTTGATGTTCTATTTGTTTAATGGATTGTAAAAATCGTATGTAATCCAGTCAAAGTTCGGAGCTTTACTGTGTTTTTGGGCTTGTACGAGCTCGAGAATGACAGTCGCGGGTTTCGACATTGGGAACAAGAACTGTGTAATAGCAGTGGCCAAAAAGCGTGGCATAGATGTCCTGTTGAACGATGAGTCTAAACGTGAAAATCCCACTATCATCTCATTCGGTGAAAAACAGAGGTTTTTCGGCTGGGCTGGGGCTGCATCTGCCACTATGCACCCAAAATCGACCATTTCACAGATCAAAAGGCTCGTCGGACGTGAGTTTAACGATCCCTCTGTACAGGAAGACCTCAAGCTTTTCCCGTTCAAAACCTCCGCAGGCCCTGATGGTGGAATCTTGATCCACCTTCATTACCTAGTCGAAAAACAGATTTTCACGCCTGTTCAGATTCTAGCTATGCTTCTATCTCATTTAAAGCAGCTCACAGAGAAAAATCTCGAGACGCAGATCAAAAACTGTGTGATTGGCGTGCCTTCTTACTACACGGCCAACCAGAGAAGAGCTTATCTCCACGCAGCTGAGATTGCGGGCCTGAAGCCCGTGAGGTTGATCCATGACTGTACGGCTATCGGGCTTGGATATGGTATATATAAGACAGATTTTCATAAGAGAGGCTCGACGAATGTTGTTTTTGTCGATATAGGCCATAGTGATACCCAAGTTGCTGTGGTCTCATTCGAGCCTGGACACATGAAGGTTCTATCTCATGCTTTTGACAGCAATTTAGGCGGACGGGACTTTGACGAGGTTTTATTCCGACATTTTGCCTCTCGATTTATGGAACAGTACAAAATCGATGTTTGTTCGAGTGCACGCGCTTCCGTAAGGCTGAGGGCCGCGTGTGAGAAGCTGAAGAAGGTCCTGAGTGCTAACCCGGAGGCTCTTCTCAGCATTGAATGCTTGATGGGTGAAAAAGATGTTAAGGGATATATTAAGAGGGAAGAGTTTGAGAGGCTGGCATCCGATTTGCTGGAGAGGATCAAGATTCCTTGTCGTAAGGCTTTGAACGAATCTCGATTGACAGTTGATAAGATTCATGCAGTGGAGCTTGTTGGGTCGGGTTCGCGGGTCCCTGTGATTACGAAGATTCTGAACTCGTTATTTCGGAAGGAGGCTGGACGGACTTTGAATGCGAGCGAGTGTGTAGCTATTGGCTGTGCAGTTCAGGGTGCGATGCTTAGTCATGTGAGAGATTATAAGGTTTGTCCACTGGCTATTTTATTTCTTGAATTAATAATCTCTTTAAGTGTCTCTAGAGGCACATTTTATGTATGTGCAGTGTGCAGAAAATCCTTGTTCGTACTTTTTTAGTGCTTAATAATTGGGGATTGGTGATCTTTACAACAACAACAACAACATACCCAGTATATTGCGCCGTATATTGGTGATCTTTGTTTTCTGAAAATTCAAATCCAGTTTTTATGTGGTTTTTAAGTTTGTTATGGCAGCCTGCGGTGATAAAAGACGCTTGAAAACTTAAAAAATCGTGTAATGCTAGATTGTAATACGGAGGGCTTAAATTAAAACGTGAACAAGACTGGTAGATCCAGAATCATATTCTATGATTTGATACCAATTGCTGAAAAATTCAAACAGGATTTGTTTCAATTCCTGCATTTATCACAAAACTAACGACAGTTAATGTTTTTGCAACTGTATCTAGTCTGTCGATAAAATTGCTTATAAACAGTTGTGGGCTATGGTCTTTCCCTTGCTCGAATAATTATTTTGCTTGTGCCAAAACAAAATTGAAGACATTTTTCTTGATCAGCCTCCAAACATGTCAACCTTTTACCTCACCATTTTCCCTCACCTGAGAGTATTCTACATATTTGCACCTCTCATTTGCAGGTGCAGGACTGCTCCCCATTCTCAATTGCGTTTGCAGCAGATCAAAGACCTGTCTGTTCATTGGCAGGTCGCGTGTTGTTTCCTAAAGGCAGTGTTTTTCCTAGTGGAAAGATTCTTACATTCAGGAATGAGATATTTTACATGGAAGTCTTCTATGCAAATCATAATGAGCTGCCACCTGGTGCCTCGTCAAATATTAGCTCTTTTAAGGTTTGTATTTTTGGTCATTTCAACATTTCCAGTTTGGTACTGTATTTGGAAGTGTACCACAGACTGGTACAGTTTAGCACAATAGCTCTTTTTAGCTGATTCTTTTAAACTTAATTCCAAAGATGATGACATTATTTATTGGTTCTGTTTAAAAGGATGTGAAGCTGCCAGATAATTGAATTGTTGGGTTTGTTTTTTCAGTTTTTGCATTCAGGAATGGAGTACAGCTTTGGACTTTGCTCTATTTCGTACTTCTCTTTATTTAAAAATGACCGATCTCTCTTTTCAGATTGGCCCATTTAGAGTTTCTCATGTAGAGAATACGAAAATCAAACTTAAAGTTGTGCTAAACCTTAACGGGATTGTCTGCATAGACTCTGCCTCTGTAAGTATGTATTTAATTTGTTTATCCAATTTGTGTTTTAAGTTGGGTGTTTTTGCCATTTTTTATTTGGGAGTTCTGCTTTTTTCTCTCTGCAGTTGATAGATTATCATGTGAATGAATGCAATGTGAACAGCAACATCAATATCCATAATGTGGAGCAAAGCAATAGCAAGTCTTTCAACAAAGCAAATGGTCATTTAGTAAGTCTGCTTCTAAACACCGCCGAATGATTATTTCTGTAAATTGCGAGATAAAACGTTAATATGATTCGGTTTGTCTTCTATTTAGTAAGCCAAAAAAATTGTTGCCGTCATCTGAAGTATATGTAGATAATTTTATGTGTGCACTTGGTAGAATTTCTCAACGCGTATGACCTTTCTAAGTCTAAATACTAAAATGCCTCCTTTTTGCAGGGTCATGAAATTAGAAGGTTAAAGGCCATCGGAAGGCAGGACATATTTATTGATGAAAATGCATATGGTGGAATGACACGTGGCGAGCTCTCACATGCTCAAGAGAAAGAACTTCAGTTAGCTCAGCAAGACTTAAAGATGGAAAGGACCAAAGATAAGAAAAATGCTCTTGAGGCGTATGTTTACGAAACGCGAAATAAGGTTTGTTGNGTTTTTTTCTTTTATTTCTATACTTTTTTTTAACTGTTTGCCTCTGGGTGTAATGATAATAATATCATTGGTTCACTTTTTCTGCCTCCAAACATTTTTTACAATTTAATATTTATGTCGAGACTTATGAAACCATTTCTGCAGCTTCTAAGTTCTTACCGGAGCTTTGCCACTGATGCCGAAAAAAAAGCAATTTTGAATAATTTACAACAGACTGAGGAATGGATTTATGCAGATGGGGACGATGAGTGTGAATCTGTGTATACTGAAAAGTTGAAGGAATTGCAGAAGGTTTGTTCATTTCGTTTCTCATCTTTCTTCTTTAATTCACGATTTCCCTTTTTATCGAATTTTCTTAAAATATGTTTCTAGATGGTGGATCCAATTGAATATCGATATAAAGATGGAGAAGCCAGGGCATCTGCTACCAAAAACCTGATAAATTCTATAGCGGAGTACCATATTGCTGCAAGATCACTTCCAACTAGTGAAAAAGACTTTGTACTGAGTTACTTTTTTTTTTCGTTCTTTCTTTTTTAGCAACTCTTTTTTAACAATATCCTGTTCGAATGCTTAATATCATCTCGATTTTTATATTTGAAGATAATTGGAGAATGCAAGAAAGCAGAGGAGTGGCTTAGAGAAAAGAATGCAGATTGGTCTGGTGAAATCAAGAGGAGAGCTCAGGTTCTTGATGAGTAAGTATGACACCAGTGAATAACTTCCTTATTCAGTCACAGTCGATAACATCTTTCACCATCGAGAGTAACAATCAATAGAAGAACACCAAATGTCCTTTCATTTAGAAGTTAGAAAAAACAAATCTAAAACAGATTAGATCGCAGGGTGTGATTTGATACGAATTCAATAGAAAAAAAAAATACTGAAAAATTAAATAATACTAATTCAATATTAATCATTTCAGGATGTACAAACGTGCGGTGGATGGGAACAAGTCCCCGTCCCCACAATCAGATGGTTCTGTAAAACCACAGACGAGAAGTAAAAGGGATGACATGGAAGTCGATTAACGTGAACCTCTAATATATGCGGAGCTAATTTTCAAGGAATTACTCAATTTTGTTCTAATTTTGATGTGAGCTTCTCCAAAATTTGTAAGTTTTCTTTGCCAGTGTGATGGTTTTCCAGCCGATACTGATGATACAAATATTAAATATACCCGTGTGATGGTGGTTCCTCATTCTGTACTATAAGTTTTTTTTTTTTTTTTTTTNCAAAATAGAGACTCAAAAATTTGTGTTATATAGAGATTTACAGAGTCACGGGTACCTCATTCTTTTCTTTCATCTATTTGAAGAAAACTTGTAATTAAGAAAATTTTAATTTGTGGCGTATTTAATTCTATTTGTATTTTATTAGTGGTATTAGTCAAGTTGGCTGCGCGCTGTGCCAAAAACGTAAATACAGACTAAACCCGATTTGCTTATAAAATGTACATAATGTAAAGCACTTTACTTTAGAAAAGGGTACATAGTTTTTAAGTTAGATATATTGATGTCTAGCTATAGAAAGGGTCAAATGTGATTGGTTAAGTGTTAACAAAAAACCATACATTCAAATGTCTGATCAGAGGTCCCAAATTTCAAATCCACTTTGATAAGAGAATCTTGAATAGAAACTGAAATTAAACAATCACTAAAAGATGGATTTGAAGGATCATCAGCCCAGCTCTTTCTCCTCGTCTTCCAGTTAGACGAGAAAAATCAAAGCCCAAAAGTTTGCACATAATTAGAAACTGTTCACCTTTTCTTTAGTTTGCACCTGACGTCTAAGACAACATGGCGGATGTGCGGAGCATACCATTTTACTCTCTCGAGATGATCGACTGAGACTTCCCAACAATGACCTGCAATCAGCCACACAATTCTCACATGCATGGAAAAATTAAGTCTAGAAAGAATAGACTTTGCTTACTTATAAAAAGTTCGATTTTTTTTATTTTTTTTTTCGTTATTTCTTCCTTTTTATTTGGTATTAATCAGAGGTTGTAGACTGCAGATACCTTCACATTTAGCAATGTCCGAAATGGACTGCACAACGCGATTTGTCCATAAACCCTCCTCAGTGTCCTTCACATTCCCATGGATGTGTAAGATCCCACCCTCATCCCTGCATTTTTTTTTTTTTTATATGTTCCGATATTTGAAAATTAATGTTCAACATGAAATCTCGAAGCATAAAATGTCAATCAGTTTAGTTAGGTGAGCCAAGATAGGTAAATTCTCTGAGGATATTGGAATTCAGAAGACAACTCCAAATTACATTGTAATTAGTCAAAACACCAGATAAATGAAGTGAAAACAAACAAAGGGGGAAAAAAATCAACCAATAACATAAGAAAGTGTATTTGGGAATCCAATTAAAACGACAACAATTAGCAAAACTCCAGAGAAGTATCCAGTATAGTAATTTCACCAAATTCTGAAAGTCATGCAACAGACGTAAAATGTCCTGAGTTTTCAGGTGATACAGAAGGAATTGTTGATTTCAATACACAATATTTAAGGCCATGTCATAAATTTTCAGAAATATGAGTCCGTGACGCACCTTAAAGCTCTAACGGCTGTGACCCAACTACACTCACTTGACGGTAACAGACCAAGGCAGACTCGGTCAGCAACTCCCTGTTACGCGACAAGACTTTACATAAATACTGGTGGAAAAGAAATGGAATTCTTTGTAACAGTTTATCTTTATTGAAGCACAACAAGGTGCAAAGTCTAGGTAGCATAGACCTGCTTGGGGAAAGTATATTAAAAAGAACGATAATATATTTGCATTTATTACAACAGAGAAGAAAAGGCCAATATGGCTCGATCAGATAATGTTCATCCTACGATCGCATGCTTCATATTACAACATAGTGTAACAAAATAAAAGCCATGATAATATCATAATAACTATTCTGCCAATAAAATATTAATACTGTCATTATAACTATAACAACAAAACAGCAATGATAATAATAGCAATACATATAGAAAATAATTATATTAACAAAAAATAATATTTAATAGATTAAAATACGGTTGGGGTGTAAATTAACAAAATAAAAAAATAGTAATCGCCTTGTAGGAGAAAGAGAACATACCTTAGGAGCAGTGAGTCTATTATCGCCTTCAAGTACAATACAACGATCAGCCACAGAATTAGCATGAAGATTTCGACGAAGTGCCTCTATAGCATGTGGGTTCCATTCACAAGCATACACCATTTTGGCGTTGGCCCTGATTGGTCACGTCTCATGTGAATAGTTTAAATATATTCAAATCACTAATAGATTGAAATAAGATAATCAAACAATCCCAGCAGCAATTTATTTAAAGTTGATACGTAAAAAAACTCAGAAAATAGAAGCACCTCACAAGGAATGGGAGTACAAAATATCCTATGCCAGCGAACAAATCTACAACCACTTGATCTTTACATTCAAGATTGCCCATACGCAGCTTTTCGGAGAGATTGCCCCATGAAAACATGCACTTGGTAGCATCAAAAGAGTAAAGTATGCCATTTTCACGGTGGTCAACCCATCCATCATTCCCGATAAGAATCTTTAATTTACTGTCTCTCGTTCCAGTTTGTGCAATTTGGCCCTAAACATCACAGCACTCTTTATTATATTTTCTCAAAGCACTTTCAGCTACATAGAAGAAAGAATAAAATTCAGACCGAACTCAATAGTTCCGAATAATTTGGATGCTATTCTAGTTGCAGACCAGATGCTGAAATGAAATTGCTTTTCCAAACACATGGAAGAAAAAAAAGAAGAATCATTACTTGAATTTATGCAATGTCGATTTCAAAAGTGATTGTTTGAAAATCTCTGTCTAAATGGAAAAGGAAGGTTTCTTTATTAGACTATTATTTTGTGCTCCTTTTCTATTATTTTTATTAGTACTTTTCCCTTGAAGGCCTGGAACAAGGTTTACAAATGAAGCGCCACAAAGGGGCAACCTAACATCAGGAAAGATTCGCATTAGTCACTAACTTGTCGTGCAAGGCGTTGAGATCCAAGTGACCTTGCAACAAGAGGCCAAAGTTCTGCGCCGATTGATTCCCACACTTGATCCTTGAAGGACATTACAGGAAGTACGATAATATCCCCGAGTCTCTCCCATCTGCTAAATATAAAAAAGGTCTTACAATATGTATACTGAACTGAAAATAAAGGGTTCACATAAACAACAATTCTATTATCAAAGGAACCACCTTGTTGGTAACTGCTCTATAAGTTCAGCTGGCAAGCCATGATGATTCAACAAAGAGGCTACAGCTTCCTTCATCGCTTTGAAAGGAGAAATCGGATTTTTCTTCAGTTTAACAACTTCATCCACAATCTTGGTTGCCCCAAATGAGAATAGAAGGTTCAGAGCAGCAGAACTTGATGTATCTCTCAATAAAGCTTGCCAACTTGATGGCTTTAAAGAATGAAGATCTGTAACTGGAACAAACTTATCAGTTAAATCCTTTTTAGCTTCTAACATGGTGCAAAACTTTTCTGTAACAGGAAGACAAATATGCACGCCACATTCCTGGGAGTAAACCTTCCTCTCGAGGTCTAACCAACCAAATTTTTTCAGTAAGTCCTTTCCCAATTTTGCATATTGTTTTTCAATCCGGAGAACACAAGGTGTCACCACGACTGGGTTTTCACAGATCCTCTGTGCTTCAAATTCAGAATCAATACTAGCAAATCCATTAACTTTTTTATCATTTCTACTCTGGAGATAATGGGCGGCACCACTCTTTGGCTCCATTTGATACTCAATGTGCTTTTCCTCAAATGTTCTAGACTCTGTATCTTTGCACAAGGAAATTAATTGAAGCAAGTCAATCTTCATGGGTTCACTGAACTTTGTTCCGAAAGCGTAACAAGATGCCCCACCACCGATGATTATAAGATCATCACCAACCACATTTATTGTGCTACGAACAAGAAGGCCTTCCTGAATAGATTTTACTGCTATATTCGTCCACGACTTCGACTGAAGATCAAGTAAGAACATTTCACGACGTTCACTGACAGGGCAGCCACCCAAAATGCCAATATATTTCGAATACACAAACATCAAGTGCGAAAACCTCACATTTGGCGACTGCCCACTAGTCTTTAACTTACTCCACTGCCCTGTTTGAACATCAAAACTGTAGAGATCCCCAAGAGCTCTCTCTCCATTATATCCACCAAACATATACAACTTGGAATCCTTCGTGTCCATCGAATGTGAATGGCGGGCCCCAGGCTGGCCCCCATGAGACTTTATCTCTGACCACTCAAAGGTACATGTATCCAGGACGTAAGTCGATGATAGAATTGAGTCATCACAAATTCCACCAAAGACATATATCTTTAAGCCAACGACAGCAGCTGCATGCCGGTGCCTGTAGATTGCCACTATGAATTACAGCTCAAATAAAATGGCATGCAGGGAAAACTAAAGTTTGAGCTGAATTTGGTAGGATAACAATAGTGAAGTCGTATAAGAGATACAGTCTGAATCCATATTACATCAGGTTGATCCGATTTCTAACTCTGAATAAATATAATAGATCATAATCAATGTAGAGCTAGAATTATTTCTATTTTCCGCTTTAATTATAGCTAAATTAGGATGAAGCTTGAAGGGAGGGAAAAAAAGAGAGGGATGAAATATAATTAATTAATTACTCAAAATATTTTGTAATCACTACCTTGGAGGGAAGAAACTCCCAGAACACTGCAAAAGCTTCCATTCCTTTTTTGTCATATTGAACACCCAAACTTCATTCAGTATATTCACTGGGTCAGCCCGACCTCCAATCACGTATAGTGAATCTCCTATGAGCGAACATGTGTGGCCTAACCGTGGAGATGGGGCTCCTTCAACAGCAACTATATCCAATTTTCCGGAATCTGTATCAAGAATCAACACATCATTTCTACGCGAATGTCTACCAATGCCTCCAAAGCCACCGAAAATGACAATCTTCTTCTCAGGGTTCAGAGCACATGCAGAATGACCCCACAAGAAGAGCCTCTCGACAGGTTCACCAACTATATTGACAACTGATAGATCGATGCCAGATGCTTCTAGCGAGCCTGCCAATGATTCAAAGATTTAAACGCCTGAGAGATTTAAGGGAAAGCAATCCTGCAATCAGACACTTATTAGATTTAACATTATTATCATGAATTTGCATCAAATTTCACCAAAAAGATTTACATGTCTAGGGCAATGTACGCGTGCATAAAATGAAAGAGTTTAATCTTATTATGCCTTTCAGCTAATGTGTATAGGTGTCTCAATAACGTCGGAATTGATAAGTGATGACATGATCCACAGTCCAGTTCTTAAACAAATAGTACATTTAGTTACTGTAAATGAGTTACAAAATGAATTCAATCACTTTACATAATATTTCTGGTATATATCAGCAATCAAAGTAAGGTGAACTGATACCAACATGTAAAACTTCAACCAAATAATACTCTCGTTAAGCAACTTTATGAAAGAAAAATTGATATTAAGCAATCTAACTATACAATGAGTAATAACATATGATCATCTATTTCTTAAAAATAAAACATTACTACTCTAATTGTGTTACGAAACCGTTCAATTACGCTACAAACTATTACGGATAAATACAGGCGATCAAGGTAAAATGAACTGATACCAACATATAAATATTTAACCAAAAGATCAGCTCATGAGTGAAAATTTACCATGATCCGTTATACTATCAGACCTCAACTCTCCCTCCAAGACCTCCACCTCATTCTCCACAGAACTCCCAAAAGATTCAAACTCCTTAGCCTCAACACTCTTTTCTTCACCATCTCCGTTCGTTTGGCTGTTCACTCGAGTCCCAAGGCCAGGAAACCCATTCTCCACCAACTTACTGAAAAACAGATCAGTTCTTTTCCTGTTAGCCGCCATTTTCTCGTTGGCAACCTCAACCAGATACTCCACATACTCAGGCGACACCATAAACTTCTTCGTATCCCCCAAAGGAACTTCCATTCTTATGGAACACCGAATAGCAATAATCATCCTCTTGCCTGCGCCGGTAATCCCACTCTCCCTGAACCCACACGAGATAGCAAGCGACACCAGAGCCTGAGCGGCCTCCAGATTTTCACACTCAACTGCAATTATCAACGGCTCGAACCGGAACACAACACTCTGGTTCATATTCTCATTCACATCGCGGCGGGCCGGCTCCGCAGGTGAGGGGAACAGAAGCGCGGACACGGAGGAAGGGGAAACGACGTCGTGCGAAACCAACAGCCAAGAGCCGCCCCTGGCTTTCTTCTTGGGGGCGGTGGGGGAGGCGGTGGGCTGAGCGAGGATTGAGATGCGGCCGGAGCATGAGCTGGTGGTGAAGTAGGAGGGGTGGGAATTGATGGCGGCCAGTAGAGGGATGATGGGCGCGTCTATGGTGCCTTTGGGGGATTTATCTGGCGCCGGCGAGTCCATGGCGGCAAGGGCCGCGGCCTTCCTTTTCTGAAACTCCATTTTTTTCTCCTCGCCGTACAGCCCAGGTGTTCGTTTGGGGCCGGATATTTTGGGGGGTTTTAGGCCAGGGGTTTTTGGATAATTTTGAATTTGTTGAGCTAAAAATCTTATTGGGCTAATGGGCTAAAGGGCTAACCGTAATTTTCTCATTTGTTATGTATAGAACATAATGCCAAAATTCGATAATTCAAAACATATTATTTATCAATTATACTGTAAACCAAAAATAATAAAACAAACAAATTAATAAAAAAAATTAATAACAGATTAAAAATAAAAAAAATTTAACAAATAAAGAGATATTTACTAGTAATTGGAGCAATTTTCTCTCATTCTTTTCCAAATACTTTTGAACTCTTTAACAAGTTTATCACATCTTTTTAAATATAATATTCAAATAATTATACACAAATTATTTACAAACATTTATAAACCAATGAGAAGAAAAAATATTATAAATTAGATATTCATAAATTATATTTGCAATAAATGAAGGCAAAATTCTCTCGGACCAAAATCCCTAGAGGATGCTTGGATACAAAATTTATCCAAAAAATCCAAACATTTTTAACTCAACCACTTTTTTTAACTCAACTTAATTATCATTAATATTATTAATATAATTAAATAATATCAACCAATCATTCTTACACATCACATCAACCTTAATTCACTATTCATCCACTCACATAATTTTAACTAACCATCACTTCAAATCATCTCTCTGATACTTTTACATCAAATCAACTTTAATTATTTTATTTAAAATATTATTTTAATATACCCACTAATAATTAACCATACCACCTTTTTCAAAATTAACCAAACCAAACCAAAAAATCCAAACAAATCCAAAAAATTTTATATCCAAGCATCCTCCTAGCATTTAGCCCAAAACTCGTCATCGTCAAACGTAGCCCAGTTTAATTCCATTTCCAGGCCTAAATTACTTTAGTAGTTTTTATCTGCACAAATGGCAGTCGCAGAGCAACAAAGGGTTCTGTGTAAAACCCTAATTCGGTCCTCTACGTATGGTTTTGATACCCATGCGATGATGTTCTGCCACCTTCAAATGTTCGAATGGCGCTTGATTGAAAATTGATTAACATAGTTATTTTGTTGGATAAATGGGATTCTTTTGTATCGTTAGTTCATCTGCGCAGGATAGTTTTAACGCCTTTTCCCTTTCTTTTTTCAGTATATGTGTTTTACCTATTGGGTTACGTTTCATTTTGCAATAAGAAGCCCTGGTATGAACTGGGTCTCATCTTTTCTATGTTTTTGGGCTTGTGTACATCTCAAAGTAGACTCTTTCATGTGAGAGGCCTTCATTTCGGTAGGAAATTTGGTGCTGAAGATATCATCTTTAAGGCTGTCAGCGTGAATATAAGGCAGAGAAAATGGAAATTCTTGGACCAGCTGTCGTCGAAACTGACAGAATCCGTAGTTTCGCGTGTTTTTCGAGAGTTCCAGAGCTCCCCACATTTGCTTTTAGAGTTTTATCAAAGAATTGGAGGACAAAAATCTGTTTATTGTTCGCTGGAATCTTGCTGTATTGTGGTTCGAGTGATGGTGGACCGTAAAAACTACGAAGATGCATTGTGCTTGATGAAGCAATTGATGATAACCAAAGGCCACACGCCTCTGGAAATCCTCGAAGCTCTGATTCATAGCCATCACGAAATGCCTTTTCCGAATTGCTCTGTTTTTGATACATTGGTTAGAGCTTGTACACAAATTGGGTCGACTAATGGTGCATATGAGGTGATCGAGAGATTGAGAGGCGAAGACTGTTGGGTCTCGATTCATGCGTGGAACAATTTCTTGAGCCACCTGTTGAAGACTGGCGATGTTGGTCATTTTTGGATGAGATATCAAGAAATGATTTTTGACTCGTATTACGAGAATGTGAATACGTTTAATTTGATAATTCTCGCTCTGTGTAAAGAATGTAAGTTCTCTGAAGCTTTTTCCGCGTTTTACAAGATGTTGAAGAGGGGGATTTTACCTAATGTGGTCGGGTTCAATATGCTTGTTGATGGAGCTTGTCGGGCGTATGACCTTGAACTAGCCATAAAGCTTGTCGAGAAAATCGGGACTATGTCAATGGGGTACGTGATGCCCAATACAGTCACTTACAATTGTCTCGTTAATGGTTTTTGCAAGAAAGGAAATCCAGAAATAGCCGAAAAAATTCTGGATAAAATGATGGAGATGGGTTTTCGCCCTAATATAAGGACTTATGCGACTGTAGTCGATGGGTACTCAAGAAGTGGGTGTATCGAGCATGCATACAGGCTGTGTGAGAAAATGGTTGAGAAAGGTTTTAGTCCAAACTCGGCCGTTTACAACTCGCTCATACACCAACTTTATTTGGAGGGAGATGTTAGTGGGGCCTCGTTTTTAGTTTCGAACATGGTGGAGAATAACGTGCCTCCCGATGAAGTCACGGATTCGATTATCATGAAAGGGTTGTGCAGAAACGGGCAAATAGACGAGGCTTTGAGGATTCACAAATGGATTTTGGAAAAGAATCTCTCGAAAGATGCTTTTTGTCATAATATTCTTGTAAGTTACCTCTTGAGGAGTGGAGATATATGTGGGACTAATCAGATTCTATGCAGCATGTTTGTTCGGGGGTTTGTTCCTGATGTGATCACTTACGGTACTTTGATCGAGGGTTATTGCAAGGCGAGTGGAGTGCAAAGTGCAGTTGAGATATATAATGATATGATTGTTAAGGCCGATAAAAATCCAAACTTGGTGATCTTGAACTCGATTTTGGATGGTTTTAGCAAGGAAAAATCAATGGATTGTTCTGTATTTTTGGTGGACGAGATGAAAAGGTTGAATATTTACGATGTCGTGACTTTTAACACCTTGTTGAGCGGCTACTGCAATAGTGGGAAGATTGAGGAGGCCTTTCGTTTGTTTACGAGTATGAGAAAATTCGGGTTTATGGCGAACAAAGTCACTTATAATATCATGATTAATCTTTTCTGCAGATTCGGATTGTTTGAGCATGCTAAGGAGCTTTTGAGTGTTATGGTTTGTGGGGGCTTATCTCCTGATAAGGTTACCTACACGACTATGTTGGCAAACGTGAGCAAGATGTGCAGTTATGATGAAGTCGTTAAAATGCACGATTATTTGGTTTTGGAGGGTGTGGTCCCTGACGAGCAGACGTATGGAGCCATTGTTAGTCCAGCTATTGAGGGGATTGAAGAACAGTGTGGGATGAGCGAACGTGCATGATAAGATGCTGATATGAAGTTGATAAATATTCAATCTGTCAATACATTGTTGCATTAAGGAATTGTGAAACTTATTGCAGTGTGATGTAGATAAATGGATTGAGTTGGTTGTAAAGAAATTGCATAATAGCTCATAAGACAGCTTGAGATTAAATCTTTACAGGGTAAAATTTGTTAAGGTCAATGTATTAGATAAATCCAGTGGATGTAAGCATACGGCAACAAATATACAAGACTTTTTTATATGAGCTTCTGTTGTACTTGCTTGCTTTCACTTGTGATGCAGCTGTATTTGTAGTCTTGACTTGCGATTTTCAGCAAAGAACAAACAGAACACATCAAGTAAAATATGCTTGGTCAAGACTGAAGGAACTCAATGCGCTATTCGCTTATTGGGAGCTGAAAACTTGTGAAGGTGTACTCATTTGGGATTTTGAAGAATCCTTAAATCTCATGTCTTGAGGTAGGATTTCGTGTGAGATTTCATATATGTATTTGAAATCCCCATAAGTCTTAGAAAGTGCAACAAAATAAAGTGATGAATAAATTGAATACCTCAAGACTCTTCAAATTACAAATGAATATCATACGACTTCTTAGAACTTTCTAAAACTCAAACGAGTACACCTAAAAAATCTTTGAGAATTCGGAATGACTACACTAACGTTCACTATGATTGTTCAAAAACAAGACCATTTTATATACATCCCTCTCTATGGTTCTCTGCCTAATTACTGCATGCTCAACAAAAGTTTTTGTTTCTGGCAAACACATCTGAAACATATGTGACCTAACCAAAAGAGACACTATTTCACAAAAAAATCCTTAAACTTTATTTACTTTGCAGATCATACGCTTATTGTAACTGCTTCAGGCTTGAATCACCACATCATCAATTGGATCATTAAATTTCTTTCATAATGAATGTATGCTGAACTTTCTCTCTTTTTTTTTATTATCATCCAAGTTTCCCAGCTTACACTCCACGCATCCAGACAACATAATAAAAGAATTGAGTTGATCAACATCTTATTTCTGTTGAACATTCTTCTCCTTTAAGAAAAAAAAAATGTTTGGTAAATGAGGAAGTATTCTGAAAATGAATTTATTTAATTTGTGAATTCAGTTAAGGTAAGATCAAGGAAAGATCTATGGACCAAGGCTTACAGTTTCTGTGCTAACGAAATGCAGGTGAATTACAATCCCAGTAGAAAATGAACAACCAAACTAGATGCCGTACACCACTAAGTGGTAACTGCAGGAAGCATAAGACTGTGGTCAAGCTGATCTATGTGGAACTCTATTTTTTGGTTTGATTTGAACAGGTTCTTGCTATATTGTTTTAGATCACCAGTCTGAATATTGATGAGCAGATAATTTCCTTTTCTCAAATCAAAGATAGAGCTAGCAAAACAAATAAAAGATTTCTAGCAAGAATTGTACATAACTGTGAAAAACTAAGAATTCTGGATCTGAAGCACCGCAATTCTGTTATGATGTAAGCCTGAGATATATCCAAAATTATAAGAACACAAATTCAGAAATATCACTGCTACATATCACTTTTCATGTTGGATCAATAATTGCCACATCCAGCTGGTACAGGATAATAACTGAACTTCAAATATTAGCAAATAATTACCGAAGACAGAACCAACTATTAATGAATATATGTATAATAGAACTGCAACATCGCATCTAAAAGAAAGATACTTAGATTTTTGTTAAAAGAACTACCTTCTCAAAGAGTGATGCCAATGCACTAATTTATCATGTGTTGAGATTCTTTAGGCTCAACAATAATTGACTAAATCTACTCCTCGGTGGAAATGAACTCAAATCTATATAAGCATATACTCCATATAGTCAACAAGGAGATGAATGCAAAAACGGACCATAATCTTTTACAGAAATGTTATTTTCCACATGCATCCACGATTTGAGTTCTCTAGCTTCAGCACCCTAATAAATCACTAGATGTTGAGTTCAGTAGCAACCTTGTGAACTAGTCTTTTATGTACCAAATATGGCTGGCATCTATGCCAACACTCGTAGAGCAGCAAAGTAAGGAGGTGATCACAGTGTATCACCCAAAAACATTGCATGCTAATCAAACTAACAAGTACATTTAGTTCTGTATATGTTTCCCAAGACTGAAACTTCTCATTTCTTATTCTTCTTACAGAGTATTTATAACTAGATTTACTTTGCAGATAGTAGAAGCTGAAAAGGGTATATAAACAGCAAACTTGAGAACTATTTTTTCCCTATAGGGGATTTGGCTAGCATCCATGTCAGGTCTCAAGGGGCATAAGTAGGTGATGCAGGCTGAATAATATATCACATCATGGTGACCCTATCTGCATGACCATTTGTCAATCGCTGGATTCAGTTTTCAGATAAAACAGAATAAAAGGGTTTCTCTCGTAATTCACCATCAAAAGCACAATTACTCAAATGACAGAATTCATTTATCAATCTGTGGGCAAGAAAGAAAAGAACGCAGCCTAAATTTGTTAAACAGAAATAAGCATGCAAAGTATTAATAAAACCTGAGTTTGTGCAAGCCCCCTTCAACTTATCTTGTCATCCTCGCCTTATTCCTACAAAATCTCAAGTCATCATCACAAATCAAATATTTTACAGGCCTTGAAAATCAAAAGAAAGTTGAAATGGGTAAACATCATAAATGATTCCTTCCAAAATTCAAACTTATGAATGAAAATAAAACCGACATAATTACTTTCTTGTCATGATTTCGTTTCATAATACCAGTGGAATTATAACCCAAAAACTAAAAATAATCAAAATTAAACATGGAGAACAAAGTAGCATTAACTTGAATATCAAAAATTTATGAGGCCTTCCACCCCTAATGAAGAACTATGCTTCAGAGATCTTAAATTCACTAATAATAATCAAATCCAAGTTAAATCAACCATAATGTATATAGCTTCGATCAGTGTTGCAAAATACCAAAAACAAACATAGAGATATATGAAAATATCTTTTCAGAAAGCATGTGAAGTGCAAATCATTTCATTTTATTAACTTCTGTATATCAATTACAGGGAAATACACCTAGATCGGGATAAAAAGAGAAAAAAGAAAACCCCCCAAACAATTTTTTTTCAGCTTTTGATATACGGAATCCATTAAAGCTACAGAACAAAAGGAGATCATGACTGAGTCTCGGAGAAAAACGGCGTCACAGCCACGAGCTTCTTCCGCTGGAGGCACCGAGAATAACTCTTGACCCTCATGTTAAAACACGGGATTCCATCCATCGCTGAATGCGGCTGCGGGAAACCCGATTCCGAACTCAATTCGAGCTGTGCAAGAGCGATCAGTGTCCGCGCGCCGATTTCCTTGGATTTTGCGGTCATCTTAGAGTACCGGAGCTGGGCGAGGGCTCCGGGCTTAAGGTAAGTGTAGAAAGACGGTGCAGATGGCGTTGGCGACCGTGAAGCGCCGCTGCGGACTGCGGTTTTCATAGAGAGGAGTGGGGGAGAGTGGTTTTGGAGAGAGAGAGTGGAGCGTCCGAAACCCTAGAGAGAGAAATGGAGGAGTGAGTGAGATTGGTGAGGAAGATAGGGTTTTAAAACGGTGGATTCAGAGGCGGGAAAATGGAAATGGCGGCCAGACGTAGTGGCGCGGTTGTTTTTTCAAGTTTTAATTTTTTTTATTTTTATTTTTTTTGGTTGGGCCACGGCCTGCGGAATATTTCCGGTCATGGGCTTTTTCGGGTTTCTTTACTTTACTTCATGTTTTTATTCTTCAAAAGATACAAATATTAGAGTTAATTGTGTTATCTAATGGAACATTGTCCATTTTGTATTGTATGGTATGAAGAAAAAAAATTAAAAAATTATGTTTTCAATGATTAGTGTTAATTGTGTTATCATTTAATGTGTAAAATTGTAATTGGTTGGAGAAGAAATATAAATTGAATAAATAATATAATATATTATATAAGTTGTTTAAAATGACTTTTACCTCTAAAAAGGCTTCCAGAGACTTTTCATGTCGCGTAGGATTATTTGTGTTATGTGGCAACAAAATAGAGTAATAAAAATACCATTGGAGATGTTCTTATAACAGTGACCCGGAATTTTGGTAATTTTTTAAATCAAAAAATGATTAATGACTGTTTAGTTAATAGAATGAAATATGACCATTTTAGAGAGTAAAATATTCGTTTTATTTTTATTAAATTTATCCACCTACCAACCACTCATTACCATCAAAATTATCTCATCTTCAAAACAAAATCAAAATTCATCTCCAATAGCTTGAGGGTTCGGCCCTTCAAAATTACTTCACTTCAAAAATTTTGCCCCTTCCAAAATTCATCTCCATCAACATCATCATAATTCGACCCTTTTAAAAGAACTAAGACACAGCCCGTGCGATGTACGGGGTGCACAATTTTAAAGCTATTTATCCAGACTTATTATTATATACATGAATAAAGAAAAATGTACGAGATATATATAGTATGTGACCCGTGTGATGCATGAGATATATTTATTTAGGAAATATTATATTATAAGATGCAATATTAAATAAAAGTATTATAATAAGTAGGAAAATTATACAATAAAATAGTATTCGACAAAGAAACAATCATATATTATTAAAGGCCTCTTTGTACACAACATTATGAGTTTGATGTGTGCGAGACCAAGTTTTTAAGAAAAAATCTTGATTTAGGAAATCGCATTATATGTAGAGATAAGATTAGACTGCCTAATGTGAAGGAAATCATATAAGATCATTATATATAGGGAAATCGCATTATATGTAGAGAATAACATCATATCAGATATTTCATACAATCAGATAAAATTTTGTGTACAAAGATATGAAGGAATTTTCAATCTACACATTATATGTAGAATATTATCTTATTGTACAACAAAACCCTTAAATTTAGGGTTGAAATCTGATTTATTTTTAGTTGACGTAATGATTTTATGTTGACCGATCAAAACTGAATTATTATTGATTTAGGTGCAATTTTTTTTTTACCGATCTTATGGGGAAAATACAATTAAATAAATAAATTGATAGAAATAGAATGCATTAATTGTCCTTTGACTTTTCTTCCTACTAATTATAGTAAATGGATGGCTCATTATATAAGTATAGATAGTACATTCATATTTATATTATTTGTATCTAAAATTTTATTATTTTTTATTTCCAAAGAAAGTCATAAATTTTGAATAATTTTTTGATATTTAGTTGCAATGATATAATAATTTTTTGTTATAGAAACTTTTTGAAGCACTTTTTAGAATCGAATTTGTTTGCAAACCTATTTTTGTGAATTTGTGAATACGTTTAAAAAAAAGACACATAAATTTATTTTATAAATCGTTTATGGGAAGCATAAAAATAATGTTTGTATTCTAATAAAAATTGGGTTCTATAAGTCTTTTACAAAAACATTTAANTTATGGAACTCATACAATTAGTTTCAGAAACCATTATGGAACTCAAAAAATAAGTTTCCAAAAATTATTTCTTAGGAAAAAAAAGGTTATAGAACTGGTTTAGGAACTCTTATATTTTTGTTTCATAAATTGTCTGAATTTAAATGGTATGAAACTTTTTGGGTATGGATAGAAGTGTATTTATAATTGAAAACAAAACAAGTGGTATGAATTTTATTTGGTATGTATATGAAAGTCGAATTTTAGGTTGATTTATTATAAAATCAAGGTGATATGATTCTCAAATTTTAACATATTTCCATAGTAACTTGCCATAAGATATTGACGATAATTTGGCAAATTGGTATGTATTCCATTTGAAAATCATAAAGATTTTTAAAAAAAGATTGGTTAATAAAATTTAAAATTTAGAATTTAATTCTAGAGAATTAGTTGATAATTTGAACGATAGGTAATTGACGACAAATCTAGAAAATTGAGAGATAATATATATCTATATATGTGTGTGTGTAAAATATATAAGGAAATTTATTGTGTAGTCAATTTGGGTTCCAAATTTAAAAGTCAAATAAGTAATTATTCATAATTTACGACCAATATTAACTTAGACGCGTTGATACCCGAGTTGGATTACCGATAGATCCGGCTTAGCAATAACGAACCGGAGGGGGGGTGACCTTGGACCCGAACCGCCCCGTAAGGTCGAAGAGATGCCAGTCTGACTCGGAAACAAAGTTGATCCAGGGGATGAGCAGAATCAATTCCCAGGTCGGCGCCTCGCCATTGAATGTGAGGGTCCGACCTAGTCAGGCGCCGAACTGGATGAAGGATCTCTTTTCCCCAGAGAACGTTCCAGTGAAGGAGATCCGACCTGAAAATCCTTCTAGGCCGGCACCAAGTTGTCGATAGGGACCCGAGGTTGTTCAAATATCGCCACTTGCCCACAAATGATTGCGGATGGGACACATCCCCATGCTCTGATAGTCTAGAACGCCTAGCCCGGTCTAGAGACCCGTCAGCATTAAATGCGGCCCATACTAGCATTTAATGCCTGACAGGTAATGATGGAAAAAACCCTAAATCGCGCTTAATTTGTCAGACGGGCGCCGGCCTGTCCCTCAGAGATACTGTACGACAAGACAACGTGAACAGTGGAGGAACAGTGCCACATTAATGACTACTATAAATAGAAGATCCCTTCATTCATTTGAAGGTTGTTGAATCTACATTTACTCTACCTTCTCTCTGCTTTCTCTCTCTATAACTTGTAATAATTACCTGTAAGAAATCAAACTATATAAAAAGTGCCGACCTCACTCACAGAGGTCGACCTCGTAATTACGTAATAAATCTCCTTTTTCGCAGTATTTCTCCCTAGTTTCACCTTTAATTCTCAGTACTTTTTATTTTAACCGTTGATCGGATCCGTCCATCAACAAGACGTAAATGGAATAGTTAATTATTTTTAGTTTAATAAATTACCCAACTACTTAAATTTTTTTATTTTGATAGTTTATACAAAAATAAATTTATTTTAATTAATGGAACAATATAAGTTTTATAATTCTACTTATTATTCACATAGATTTTTAAATATATGATAAAATTTTACCAAAATAATTATTTTATAGAATCACATTCACATTGTAGTCATATCGAATTTATGAATAAAATTTTTAAATGCACTTATTTCAAATGAATATAACGTAATTTATTATCAGTTACGTGCACCATATGAGTTGTTACTAATTTAAATAGACATATTTTATGTAATTTTTCACAATTTAAATTTCATATAATTTTTAATAAAATTAATATAGATAAATTGTATTACATATAATTTTATACTTTTAATTTATAAAAACTATTTAATAAACGTTTATAATTTATAAATATTAATAAATATTTCTTACTACATCCAGGCTAAATTCATGAGAGAATCTCTCTCTCTATATATAATTGCTAGCAAAGCAATTAATAAAAATATTTTCGTTTCCCGTCAAAAGACATTACAATATTTTGTCATTAATATATAAATAACAACATATAACAACTTATAACAAATAACTAAGTGAGTTAACAATATTATTTGAAATTCTGAAAATTAATTTATATACATAATTAATTTTATTTATAATTATTTTTATTTAAAACACATAATAAGGGAATAATATGAACAAATCATAAAATTTTGAAAGTAAGATTATATGCAAGTCATATTATAAAGCATATATATGAGAATCCGAATCTAAGTTATTTTGTATAAAAAATTAGTAATTTTAATCCAAGTCATATTATAAAGCATAATATTTTTGTCACATAAGATTACGTGAAACTATAATTGAAACTCACCATATTCTGAAATTATAGATTATAGACAAGAGGAATATATAAAGGGGTATTGGAGATGCTATAATCTGGCGCAAAACCAGGCCATGTGAGCCCCACACTGGAAATGGTCAATCCAAGTCAGCACAATCTCAACCGTACGATGGTCACAGAGTGAAATACAGCGATGACAAAAAATGCATAAAAGAAGGAAATGATTGATTTATGGTTCGGATTAGACTGCAGAGAGCTATCATTAACAGCAGCTACCACTGTTCCTCAATACTGACTCGCCTCAAATTTCGATATTTATAGAATAAATTATGATAAATATCACACATTAACTAACAAAGTGCAGTACATAGAGAGAAAGAGATATCCGAGAGAATGTTCTACGAGTGAATTATTGTTGTGAGAAGCGAAGTTTGAAGCATCGAACTCTCCATTCTGTTGCGTTATCTCTGTTTGGGGGATAAATTGAGATGGTGGGCTCTTTGCCGCCGCCAATGTCTCTGAGTTGCAGAGCCCAGTTCAAGACGAAGCCTTTCCTCGGATTCTTGCCTCATGGAAACGCACAAGTAACGTTTTACGTTGCGTGAATTTGTGTGCCTTCGGTTCGAGTGCGTATTGATTTGTTCTTCTGCTGATTGATTAGCATACATAGAGCGAGTTTTAGAAGCTGGGCGAATCAATTGTTCAGGAAATAATATTGGTGGTGCTCGTAATTTGATTTGCTTTGATTTTCCTTTAGTTTTTTTACATTATATTTTTCACTAATTAGAGACAAAGAAAGAATCTTTGTCTGTGATGTTATGCTAAAGTTATTCTTCACATATCAAACTTGTCTCTAATTAGAGACAAAGAAAGAGTCCTCCAACCCTTTTTCTTTTTGGAATTATTTCAACCTGGGACAGATTAACAAAGGGTATTGATCCTGTCGCATGGGCCAACTTGGTGGTCATCTTGTTTACTAGTATTTTCGGGTTTGTAGTTCGAGCCATAGACTATAGTATATATGTTTGAAACATGTGCTGATAATGCTCGACACTCCCTTCTCTGTATTTATTATCTTCTTTAAGTGATGCTGGATGTGTTGTGTGAATTTTGTAGGATTAGATACTTTTTGTATATTTAAAGCATTCGTTTTGCAGTCATTCTACTGGAAAATCGATCATGTGTCTGCTAAGGTTACATATCAAGTATCTGCAAGTGCAGGTTGGTTGCTTTTTGTTCGCTTAAGTAAATATCTACAATTAAGTAATAAACATAGCTCAGTCCTTTTCTTTTGCATTTATTTTTATGTAGACTTTTCAAGAAGGCGGCCGAGGAGAAATTCCACGCCAAAGACAAAAGATTCTACACCAAGGGGTTTTTTGCCGAGAACTCAGGTCCCCACGAATACCCAGAGAAGGGATCAAAAGAAAAACAAAGAAAACGAAGGTCATGGTACTCCAACGCCTACGGAATTCGAGAGTTCTAATGCTGAAACCGAAGAGTTGAATATCGACTCTGATGAAGAGGATGCGTCTCACATTAAAATGGAGGAAAATGAATCATTATATGAAGGTAAAATAAGCGAATTTGAAGAAAACGGGCGAGTTAGTGAAGTCGATCTTGCAATTGAATCAAAAGATGCAGAAAGCTTCACCAAAAGCGAGGTTAGTGATAATGCAGGTATATTATTTTTTTAAAAAGTATTTAATTTGATATGTAAAGAATAAAGTCTAGATGGGCTAAAAACATCAACATTGATAATTTGTAGGAAATTATTGAAGAAAAACGGGTTTATAGTACAAGTAGTGAAGATTACATAGAGCAGGTTGAGAGTATTAAAAATGTTGCTGATTCATACAGAAGCCTGTCTGTTATGTCAGAGGCAGTTGAAAGTGGTTACAAGCCTTTTAGTGAGGATATCAAAAAAGGAGATTATTTTCTAAAATTAAAGTTGGAAAGGGAAGCTATTTTGCGTAAGGAGGCATTAGACAGGCTGGCCGGGGAGAATTTCAAGAAAGGGAACAAATTGTTTTACTACCCAGAGGCCGTAAAACCTGATCAAGAAGTGGAGGTATATTTTAACAGAAGCTTCTCTACTCTGAAGAACGAACCAGATGTTATAATTATGGGAGCCTACAATGATTGGAAATGGAAATCGTTCACCTTGAAGTTGAGCAAGAGCAATCTCAATGGAGATTGGTGGTCTTGCCGGCTCCATGTTCCTAAAGAAGCATATAAAATCGATTTCGTGTTCTATAATGGAGCAGATGTGTACGATAACAACGATAAGCAAGATTTCTGTATAACCGTGGAGGGTGGAATGGACATTTTCGATTTCGAGAATTTCTTGCTTGAAGAAAAACTGAGGGAACAGGAGGAGCTTGCAAAGCAGAAAGCTGAGAAGGAAAGACAAGCAGAAGTACAAAGGCGTATAGAAGCAGAAAGGGTAGCACGTGAAGCTGATAGAATTCAGGCCAGAGAGGAAGTTGCAAAACAGAGGGCAATGATGCAAGAGTTAATGAAAAGGGCTGTTACATCGATTGACGATGTTTGGTACATAGAGCCTAGTGAATTCAAAGGCAATGACATGGTGAGGTTGTATTACAACAGGAGTTCAGGTCCACTTTCTAATGCTCGGGAGATATGGATTCATGGAGGACATAATAGTTGGAAGAATGGGCTGTCCATTGTCTCTAAGCTCGTCAAGTCCGAGAAGACTCTTGGAGACTGGTGGTACGCTGAATGTGAGTGTGTTTCTACTTTCTATGACTTTATTTGTCATTTTCAGTATGGCTAGTGCTGTATTTTGTTGTAAATATGTAAAACTTGAGGTTATAAGTCAAAGTTGAAAAGTTCTGGTCAAGTTTGCTTTGCTATCATGGTTATTTTGACTACTTGGCTTTTGAAGCTTTTGTTGTAGGTGCTGGGATCAAGAGTTTTCAAAAATTTCAGTTGTCAGTTTTGCATTTTAGATATTCTTTCCTTCAATTAGTCACCTCAATTTTTAATGCCTTATATTTAGCTCTTTTCCTTCTTTACCCAGATAATTACCTTCAATAATTATCCAAGTTTTTCTTCTGTTGTGTAGTTGTTGTGCCTGATCAAGCTCTTGTATTGGACTGGGTTTTTGCTGATGGGCCACCCAAGAAAGCGGTTATTTATGACAACAACAGGCGCCAAGATTTTCATGCTATTGTTCTGAAATCCATACCTAACGAACTGTATTGGGTTGAAGAAGAGCAGCGTATATTTCATAAGCTTCAGGAAGAAAGGAGGTTAAAAGAAGAAGCAATGCGAGTGAAGGTCAGTATTTTCCTGGAAGCAAGATAAGGAAGGAATATTGAGATTTCTTACATTTTAAATCCTTTAATCTTTAGAAATAACTGTGATATGCAGAGCTTGCTCAATTGAGTTTTCATTTTTCTCTTGAAAAAAAAAAAAAACAAAAAAAATCTTTCTTGTTTCTATTTTCCCTTCCGTAAAATGATTTCCTTAACCTTTGGATTTTCCATGTACAGGCAGAAAAAACTGCACGCCTGAAAGCAGAAACAAAGGAAAGAACCTTGAAAACGTTTTTGTTGTCTCAAAAGCATATAGTTTACACTGATCCCCTTGATATCCAAGCTGGAAGCACAGTCACCTTATTTTATAATCCTGCCAACTCTGTCCTAAATGGAAAGCCCGAAATTTGGTTGAGATGTTCTTTCAATCGCTGGACTCATCGAATGGGCCCACTGCCACCTCAAAAGATGATTCCTGCTGAAAATGGTTCTCATCTTAAAGCGACGGGTGAGATTTTACCTCTGTATTCATGGTGTATATAATTTTGCATTCGTGTTTTCTTGAGAAAGTTTGTCTTGTCAACTATGTTAAGTTGTAGAATGTCGAAATCAAAACAAATATTATCAATAACAATTTCAAAATCTGGATCCTGCTGCTTTTTCTTTTTCACTCTAAATTTTTTCTCCACTTCATCGTCTCTTGCAAGGTTACTTTCATATTAATTCGAAAAAAAAAAGGTAGCGTTTCGT